CTCCATATCAATTGTTACATGCTTGCATGCCAAGTGGAAGTAGGCTATAAAAATGCGATATTATCAAATGACTGCAATTCCCAGAGGACGCTGGGAGATTTTAACTGCAAAACACTTTTGCGGATCGGATTACCAACAAGATATGTAACTGCAGGTTCAAACAACACCATATAAGAAAATCGGGTTTGCAGTCAAAGGGCAGCTGGCTAAAATGATTACTGAAATGGTTTATTGAAGACGTGAATGAATTTCTTTTTAATACAACAAAACATTGACTTCAATACTTTCCAGTCTTCAAATGACAACAAAATGCAATAGTTAATAGTTGTTATCTTTAAAAGATTATGGATTTTATTTAAATTCTTGGCAGAGAGTGAATCAGAATGTGCTGAACATAACATGTAATATTAGCTGCAGGCATCAAATTTGTGTCCGTTGTTTTTAGAGTTAGGCTGCCCGTACGCCGATAGATTTTAGTTCAAACGTTCATATGAAAAATCTTGGCAGTATATTTGATAGTGCCATCAGAGACTATGAATGTCATTTGAAAGTGCTTCAAAATGTTTGCTGTTAAGATTTGATTTTGGTATGAACAGAATTTTCTGAACTAAATGCACTGTTAGAAATTTGCTCTAAATTTGTTTTCCCATTTGAGAAATGTCCATCCTGCTCTTTTGAATTGTTTGGTCCCTACTGTTGAACAAGAACTTCAATTTGACCCCACTCATTATTAGAAAACTGAATGAATGTTCCAGAAATAAAATGTATCTAACATAATTCTAATGGCACATGGCCAGCTTAAGGCCCCATGCATACTAGCGGTTTTAAGCTAAAAAAAAAACGCTGGATAAAAATTCTGGTAATAGTGTTTTTACTAGAGTTTTAGTAGTGTTTAGGAGTTAGGAGTGTTTTTATAGTACATGCAGGGGAAAAAAAGCTAGAAAAAAAATTGTTAGGAGTGTTTTAGTAGCTTTTTATTTCTGCCAAAAAAACGCTCCCAAAACTCTACAAAAACAGGTTTCTTTCTGCTCCTAAATGCTGAAGCTTGAAAAAGTTACTAGCCTAAAATAGTGTGCATGGACACATAGGATAACACTAGCTTTTAGGAGCACAGAAAAAAATGATAAAAAAATGCTGAAAACGCTAGTGTGCATGGAGCCTAAAGCTACATGTTGAAGTATTTGCTTATAATATGGCAATTAATTGTTAGTAAATCTTCCTTCAACTCTACATGATGGTATTTAACCACTTCCAGTCCGGACACTTTTACCCCCTTTCTGTTCAGGACAATTTTTAGCTTTCAGTGCTTTCACACTTTGAATGACAATTGCGCAATCATGCAACACTGTACCCATATGAATTTTTTAGCATTTTTTTGAGACAGATAAAGATTTATTTTGGTGGTATTTATTCACCACTGGGATTTTTATTTTTTTTTTGCTATGTAAATTAAAAAGTCCAAAAATTTTGAAAAAAAAAAAAAAAAAACGTATTTTTCTTATAAAATTTTGCAAATAAATAGTATTTCATCAAAAATCTTGGCCAAAATTTGTTCCTTTATATTTTTAGTAAAAAAAAAAATAACCCAAATTAGTTTATAACCAAAAATTATAATTTTTAAACATTTTTTTTTTACTTTTTTTTATATTCTTTTTTATTTATTTATTTATTTATTTATTTACATACTGTCACCCTAGCAGTACTGTGTCACCATGGTGACACTGTACTACTTGTGGGGGGATGATGATTTTTTTTTTTTTCTTACACGGATTGTTTTTATACCCATAAAGGATGTAAAAGCAATCATTTTTCCTTCTCTCTAGCTGTATTCTTGCAGCCATTGAGAACTACTGAGTGAGCTGTGATTGGTCACAGCTTGTCACATGGTACAAAGCTGTTGTGAATAGCCTTGTACCATGTGACCTCTGTGATCATTCACAGATTTCTCACGTAGTAAGCAATGATGTCACAATTGACATCTTGCTTACTACTCTGCATGTGATCACTGATTGGACAATCAGTGATCACATGATCGGGACCTCGTACAGAGGTCCTGTGCGACGATCGGACCAAACTGCGGTGCTGCGCGCTCCCAGGGAGCGCGCACAAGCAGGGTGCGAGGAGGCTGTTTATAAACAGCCACCCGACCCTGCACTGCCACCGTCTGGCCATTTATATACAATGGCCAGATGGGAGGTGGTTAATAAAAAAAATGATTATACAACATATACTATGACCCCCCCCCCAAAAAAATTTTTTTTTCAATGTGGGTGCTCACTTTTTGATTAAACATTTTAAAAAATCAGTTGAAAGCATTCATCCAAGCCAATTGCCTATATGTGCTTGGATGTTGAAGACAGAAGGTGAAAATACATGATTGTTTTTTAATCTAAGGCCAGAGTTGTATTTTATGTGTATTCAAAGACAACACTTTACTTACCCATTGCTTACTAATAAGGAACGACAAGAGTCTGAGATAACGTACCGTGGTCCAAACACCATGACAACCAAATATGCTATATATTTACCCTTCTGTATCTTGTAATAAACCACATGTATGTCATAATGACTAACGCAAGACAATTATTAAATTTTTTTTTAATGTGGATGTCTTCTTTCAGACCATTTTTGCAATTTGTGAAAAATCAGAAAATAGAGATTTAAAAAATTCACATGCTTTAGCTTGTGACACTGCTCAGCCCTGGTGATAGGCTGCTATGCCATTGAATGCTATCATGTGAGAGGGTTGGGAGGTAACCTTATTCTGCCTATTCCCCAAATATCACTCCCTGTAACCTCTCTAACATCCCTTTTCCTTTTGATCACAACTTTATCAGCTTGACACTTTCCCTGCCTCCTACCTCCCATGCCTGCAACCAGCATACCATTACCTGTGGAAACCTCCACCACCTCAGCCTTGACCTTCTTCACTCTGCTACTGAGTGCCTGTATGATAAAATTGCACCCCTGTCCTGCCCAGACCTGGCCGCGTCTGCCTACAACTATCTATTATTGGACCCCCACATCCAATCACCGGCTAAATCCTGCCGCCTCAACCTCCGGAACATTTCCAAAATCCCTTTCTGACCAATGACACCACAAAACAACTTATCCACACCTTGGTTTTATCCCACCTTGATTACTGCAACTCCCTCCTCACTGGTCTACTGTTACACAAGTTATCCCCCTTCAGTCTATTATGAATGCTGCTGCTGCTAGACTCATACACCTTACCAAATGATCAGCGACTGCTGGCCCTCTCTGCCAATCTCTTCACTGGCTTCCACTAACCCAGTGTTTCTCAACTCCAGTCCTCATGGACCCCCAACAGGTCATGTTTTCAGGATTTCCATTATTTTGCACAGGTGATTTGATCAGTTTCACTGCCTTAGTAATTACCACAGCTGTTTCATCTGAGGGAAATCCTGAAAACATGACCTGTTGGGGGTCCATGAGGACCGGAGTTGAGAAACACTGCACTAAACCAACGTATAAAATTCAAAATACTAACCACAGCTTACAAAGCCATCCACAACACTGCCCCTAGCTACATCACCGACCTCATCCGCAGATATCGGCCAAATCGCCCACTTCACTCCTCCAAAGATATCTTCCTCTCTAGCTCCCTCATCAACTCCTCCCATACTCACCTCCAGGACTTTTCCAGAGCCTCTCCGATCCTCTGTAACTCCCTACCACAGCATGTCCGGTCAGCCCACACCCTGTCTGCCTTTGGGCGGTCTTTGAAAACTCACTTATTCAAGGAAGCCTACCCCACCTCCACCTAAGAACTGTACTTGAATCACCTCCACCAGATGATCCCCCGCAGCTATCACCTTTTGTATCACCTCCCCCTTCCTTTAGATTGTAAGCTCCACGAGCAGGGCCCTCCTATTCCTTCTGTACTGAAATGTATTGTAATTGTACTGTCTCCCTTATATTGTAAAGCGCTGAGCAAACTGTTGGCGCTATATAAATCCTGTGTAATAATAATTTAGGGGGGCTATAGTGGCTCTGTGGTGCCTAGCACTTTATAGTTGTTTGCCAAGTTTTCTTAAAATTAGGAACATGTGTTTTACTCAACTGTAGCAAAACTGTGGCAGTTCTAGACATTGCACTGTATTAGTGGGATTAGATATTACACAGGGTTCTCGTGTGTATGCAGGCTGAGAGGCTCCAGAATGTTGGTTCTGAAAGAAGTTAAAATTGGCTTTTCAGTTTTCTGTGGGGTTTTGTGCTTCCCTGATTCGGTTCTGGAGTTTGGAGGCTTCAAAGTGTTTAGGAAGGGAAGAAGTCTCTAATCCTTGGTCCAGGTTTTACTGGGGACCAGCAGGCTGTGTGTGTATGACAGCACAGCCTTCATAATCAAGGGCCTGAAAATAGTTCAGGGCTCCACCCAGGAGACAGGAGGTCCCCTGCCTAGATTTGAGGACATAAGCCACTGCAGCAGGGAGCTGCAAAAGGTATGCAGAGCATGCATATGAGGGCACTAGTGCTGTGAGGTGGTCTGAAAGAACAAACAAGGGCTTAAGCCTGAGCAGCAGCGCTGTGAGAGGAGCCAGGAGGATGAAGAAAGCACCTGTGTTGGAGGAGGAATGCTGAACACCCCTGTGCAGGAAACCTTTTGAGTTGTGTTGCAACTTGTACTTTTCCTTTAACCGCCTCCCGCCCGCCATATAAGGTAATGATGGGCGCAAGGCAGTTCTCTCGTTCTGGGAGGAGATCATATGACGTCCTCCCACTCTAACCGCGTGTGCGCGTCCCCGGGGGCTCACAGCACGGCGATCGGTGGTGCGCTGCGTCCCTGGGACACAGAGGATCACCAATCAACGGAAAGAGCCAATGACATCAGCTCTTTCATGTGATCAGCTGTGTCCAATCACAGCTGATCGCATGTAAATAAGGAAATACAGGTTATTGGCATTCCTCTCCTCACAAGCTGTCACACTGACAGCTTGTGAGGAGAGGAGAACCAGTAATCGACATTACTCAGAGGGGACAAGTACAATGATCATCAGGGCACTAATGACCAGTGTAGCCCCATCATTGCCACCTGCCAGTGCCCATCAATGCCACCTGCCAGTGCCCATCAATGCCACCTGCCAGTGCCCATCAGTGCCACATCAATGCCACATATCAGTGCCTACCAGTGCACATCAATGCCACATATCAGTGCCCATCTGAGCTGCCTTTCAGTGCCACCTATCAGTGCCAGTCAGTGCTGCCAATCCGTGCCACCAAACAGTGCCGCCTATCCGTGCCACCTATCAGTGCCATATACGAGTGCTGCCTTTCAGAGCCCATCAGTGATGCCTGTCAATGCCCATCAGTGCCACCTACCAGTGCCTCCTGATCAGTGCTGCCTATCAGTGCCCATCACTGCAGCCTCATTAGCGCACATCAGTGGAGAAGAAAAATCACTTATTTACAAAATTTTATAACAGAAACTAAGAAAAAACCTTTTTTGCTCAAAATTTGCAGTTGTTTTGGTTTGTTTAGCAAAAAATAAAAACCCAGAGGTGATTAAATACTATCAAAAGAAAACTTTATCTGTCTCAAAAAAATGTAAAACATTTCATATGGGTACAGTGTTGCATGACCGTGCAATTATCATTCAAAGCGCGACAGCACTGAAAGCTGAAACCTAGCCTGGGCAGGAAGGGGGTAAAAGTGCCCTGTAGGCAAGTGGTTAAATAAAATTAGGCCATCAAACCCTGAAACAGTATTTACTGGCTGGGCTGAACTCACTGGAAAGCACTACACCTTAATTGAAACCCCCACATATATCACAACTTTTACCACAGAACACGACACTGTACTTAACATTTCTTGGCATTTAAGAGTAGCAAATAAGAAATGCCACAACTAGTAATAAAACACTTTGACACATGTATAATTAATTAGTAGTATTATTGTAGTATTATAATTATTGCTTTTATATTTATTGTAAATATTATATGTCAGCTGCACTTTACATTTGTTTTCTCTATGCATTCGGGATACAGAAGCTGTGATTGGACTGACACAGGCCCTGGAATATGACACCTATTAAACTGTCACAACAAAGCATTAAATACTCTCTGGATGGCAAATGATTTCAGCACTGAGATGTGTGGGTGATGATTTCAGTAATGACACTAAAAGCTCTGATGCAAAGAGAAACTAGCATGTATCTTATTTCTGACAATCCAAATACAGTCTGAGCTCAGAATAAGATCTAGCCATATGCTGGTAATCTGCTGCCAGTACAAGGCACCATATGGGGACAAACATTTAATTTACAGTAGAAATAAGAAAACTAATGTTTTGAGGTACTAGGGCACATAGACACTTAAAAAATGCCACCTTTTTATACATTCAGACTTTTTTTTTTTTACTGATCTAAATGCAGCCCATTGTTTTAATGGACCTGTACACAAAGGCACATAAACCTGGACTGTATGTAGATCAGTAAAAAAATAAAAACATGCATTGCTGGACAGTAATATATGCACATATACATGTATACACACATATACGTAGTAAGACACAACCCAAGAAAAGCTAGAATTTTTGCGCACATGTATGCATTAAGCCCTAGGGACACAAGTGGGTTTTAACCTGTGTTTGCAGTCATGACAATGGAAATCACCTTATTCTATGATGCCTATGCACATCCATGCAGCGCAGTGCATTTATTGAGGTGCAGGTGATTCTTTTGGTGCAGTGCATATTTGTTCCACAGACTACAATGAGAATGCATGGAAAGCACATATAAAATGCAGGTACAGTTTTTTTTGTTTTGACAGAATTTTATGTATAAAATCCAGTCTCTTCTACAAAAGATGCATGAAGCATGAAAACACTTGTAAAAACATGCAAAAACTGGCTAAAAAACACACTGAAAAACACATCATCGTGCAGCAGCACTAGTGTGAACCTAGGCTAAAGACTATGAAACTGAAAATGAGTTTTCATTGAGTTTTTCAACAGAAAATTAGTAGGGTACATAGAACTTTGAATTAGGATCTTGCACTGTTCCTCTAACATGGGTTTGCGTGCTTGTAAGTTTTTTACCTTAATACAGAGAATGCATTAAGGTACATTTTTTGTTTACAAAAAATAAAATAAAACAGAAGTTATGATGCAAGTGGGTCATGTCAAATAAATCACTATTCAGCTTTTACTCAAGCTGTAGTATTGTGTGAGACTGCTCACAAGCAACTGCCAGTTCCCACCCACTAATTCCTGGCTCTGTTTCTGCCACCTTGGAATTTTAGGAGATCCTGCCAACTTTGGGGTATTTCCATGCTTCCTTCATTTTCAGAAAATAAAATAAAAAATTCTAACTGGGAGAGTAGGGCCCCCACTCCATGACCATGGCAGAGGTTCAGATCTGGGGAGCCAAGAAAGGAGTCCTCCAGGAGGCTGAAAAAGCCATAGAGGGATTTAACTCTCCAGCATCTGTCAAAATCAGTTTTGGGAAGAATGACCCTTTATTAATGATTTTAAGATATGCAGGATATACATATGTGCTATTGTGTACATTGTTTAATTTAATACAGCTCAGCAAAATATGAAATTTTTTTTGCTTCAACAAAACCTAAGCCTGTATTTTAAGCCAGGCAGGGGCGTATTCACCGTGAGGCAAACTAGGTGTTTGCCTAGGCTGGCATTTTTCAAGGTGGCGGCGTCGCCCCACCCCGGAAGAAGAGAAAGAAGTAGGGACACACACGATATGGGGACCAGGTGGGATCTGTGAGAGGCTGCGCGGACTGCTTGATTGTGTATGCAGAGCCCGACTCTCGTTCCCTGGAATGTCCAGAGCTGTGAAGGCGAGTGTCTCTCTCTCTCACCGAGTGGGTTAGGTGGGTGGTGGCTGAGTTGGATACAAAAGTGCATTCCTCATAAGTATCAATGTGTGAACTTCATATCTACATCTGTTATTATTTTTAATTGTTTACAATCTTGTCATAAAGTAAAAGTACATCCCCTTTTGGCTAAGTCTTTTACCATTATGTAAAATATTTAATTAAAATAAACTATAAATTGCTTTAGAAAGACAGTCATACAGTAAATCACTAAAACTTTTCTTTTGAGTAAAAATTGACAATGATTACATTTGTTCTGATGCAGCAACGTTAGACTCATATATGTTTTCTGTGCTAACCTGATGAGTATGACAGGATTACACCTGAAAAACAAATGTGGAAAAGGACTGGAAACATTGGAGGTGTACAGGATGATGGTCTTATACATATTAATAGAGAGAAAAAAAATCCTGTAATCAAGGAAACTACTTATAAATGCAATGTTTCAACTCTACAGAGAATTTTTTTGATGGGTACACTGACCCCATGACATGGTTTTAAAATGAAACTTTAATATATCTGAGCATCACAAACTGAAAAGGCAGATCATTTTTAATATTCAAAGCAAACTCTCCCATCCGTTCATGTCTCCATGCTTTATTTTGTTGAGAAATTTCTTTGACCCCCCACCCAGCACTTCTAGCAGCAGCTACCTAGAGCGAGGGTAGATTATTAATGAAGCATTTACTTCCCGGGATCCATCTGCCCTTACCTCAGGCATGCAGAGAGGAGGGTGTGCTTAGCTGAGAAAGCCCCTCCTCCCCCTCCTGAGAAGGAAAAAAAAATGAAAATTGAAGACTCCCTAGATTGACATAATTTTGACCTAGGCTGGAAACCAGAAAGCAACTGAACACATTTTAAAAAGTTTAAAACAAGGAAATATAATAAACCTTCCTATCTATCTACGAATACTAATAGCATAGTAGGCCCCCTGTCAACAATTGACGGTTAAAGCAACACGTTCACTGTTTCCAGAACTGATACCCAACCTTCTGGCAGTGCACATGGGAGATCTGCCATTAAAAGGCCACAGACATATAAAATTCATAAGCTTCCGGCCCCTTGGCCTGTACTACAGAGCAAGACACAGTACAGTATGAAAGAAACACCACGGCTGTTAGAGTCATATTGGTCTTTTTCTATCCAAGTCACACACTAAACTAAGCTAATAATGCATGGCATGATGGCTGGAAATACCCAAAACTCTGCACAAAAAAAATTGTTGTATCATATACTGTCCACTGACAGGCAGATTTCCTGACCTACACAACATAGATGTAAACATCCTACGGTTTTTGCTCTTTTCTAACTGTTATATTAGTTCAGACTGCCATTGGCTATACAGGCATATTAGGGATTTTTCATATAAGAGAGACAAGCAGTGTTTCTTCCCTCTTTTTGCTGTTGTATTGTATGATTTGCAGGTTATCCACTGGAAAGAGATCACAGCAGTTTTGTGCGACGACTCTGTTTTACTCCTGACAACTGTTTTATATACAGTATTATATATAGTCATTACTTTAAACTTGGACATTGCAGGTCTCACAGAGTACAATATATAGAAATGGGGGAAGTTTGGCTGTTGGTTTTGTCCCTCCATATATAGAATTTCTATTAGCAGAGCTGAGAACACTATGAGCTTCACTTGTTATTCACTGTATGACCTGCAAGGGAGCAGAACAGCAGCGGCATAAATTTAAAAGGGACCGACAAGCCAGACTGTCTCTGTGTCCACACTAAAGACCCTGACTGAAAGGTCTGATGGGGCAAATGAGACTGTGAATTCTCAGTCATCAACAAGCTATGACCTTTCCGATCACACCCAATACCAAGGTGCTGCCGGCAGTACCAAAGCATCTATATATAGGATTGAATCAGAACTGCAGCCGTCCATCCTCCCCCCTACACTGTCAGTCCGGGATCTGCAGTATAATGCCCAGCATTTGCTGTAAGACAGATGGGTGTCAACACAGGATTCAGCGCTTATTAATGTGGTGATTTACTTTTAGACTCATCTTCATTACTCTTTATGAAGGGAACCTGTGCTCACATCAAACAATCTATTAAATACAGTGGATCTAAAAAATAAAAATAGAAATGTTCACACAACATTCACTTTAGGCAGAGTGAAAATTTAGACAATCATTACATGTTATATACAGTAGAGAATAGACAGTATAGGTTGGGATAAGTATGTCTATTATAATATATGATTTAAAGCTGGTGTTGTAAAAATAGCAATATCCTGTGTAGATATTCTTGTAGTATTCTGTATTTGTAACAGAGCTACTTTGAGGATCTATTCAGATTGCAGTGCTGTTGTGTTACCACACACACACACACGTTAACCACATCCCGACTGCCCTATAGCAGATATACTGCTACAGCGCTGCAGGGGTGCTCAAAATTACATATACGCGATTTTGTATTTCCTGGTAGGAGTCGTGCACGAGCTGCGCACGTGCCCTACCCGCGTCGCCAGTCGCGGGCGCCAATCACCGGGTCCTGGCCGGTTATTACCAAGCATCTCCGACGGGGAGGAGGACTGCTTTGTTTACTAACAGTTCTCCTCTCTGGGCTCAGGCACACTG